ACCCGGGAATATTAATTGTAAATCATGCCTCTTCCATTACCTTAAGGGCTAACAATTTCTGTGCAACAAAACAATTCTACAAAATACTTCACAGCTGAATATACACAAATATGGACCAACACTATCTTTAAAACAATTTAGCTTACCAACTGCAATATCTGCGACACATGTAACAACAATTTGTTAAAACCGCGATTTAAAATAAAAAAAGGACTTTTAATTTTCTACGATGGAGATCCAGAGCCTTTGGTCGAAGTCTTAGTGATCAGGAACCGTTACTGGGAATATCCTACAAGGAGGCTTTCTTATGAACCCGATGAAGAGGATCCTCTATTGTGGAAAACGCCCTGTGTGTCTCTTTGAGGTTACCTTTATAACTTCTGCATAGTTTATTGTTATTAAACTAATATTTAATAATTATTAAATAATCAATTTTGTACATGATTGCAACTTAAAACCAATTCGCGAAATAATTAAACAAACTTTTACGTACAGGGTGTTATTTAAATAAATAATTAAAATTTGGAAAAATGTGAATTTATACGAAGCGTGACAATAATATTAAAGTTATAACAAAACAAATCGAAGAGTCGGAAGAGGCAGGTACGATTCATACCTACAACAACGTTTCTAAAACAAAACAAAGCTTAGGATGTGGAATATACTTCACATCTTTAAACTTAAACATAAAATGGGCTGTGAGCAGTAATGCCAGTGTAGTTCAAACCGAGCTCATGGGAATTCTCATAGCAGCAAAAGAAATCACAAGAAACAATATCACTGGAAGGAACATGCTATCTATACAGATAGCAGACATGCTGTACTTCCCCTGGACAGACCACGAATTTACTCAGGGTTGGTACTAGAATGTCATGAAGCTTTGGCCGAAGTATCCATTAATAATGTGTTTAACTTAAGATGGATCAAAGGTCACGTCACATTGAAAGGTAATTGTCTTGCTGATTCACTAGCCAGGCAGGCAGCCAACCAAGTACTTTTTGGACCTGACCCTACTATTGGCCTGACAAAATCGGTAGTGGCAGACCTAATTAATATTCCCTTGTGAAGTTCAAGGAAATATTGAATAAACCAAGAAGCTGCAGGTAGCTTTCATGTTATCCTGACAACACTACAGCAAACAAATACTTGACTATCACTAGATGCCTGATCACAGGCATTTTGACGGGTCATTGCCAAGTAGGGAAGCATCTCCATGTCATGGGGCTGGCAGAATCCGCACTCTGCAAAGGGTGCAAACAAAAAGATGATATCATCGAGTATATCGTCTACAAGTGATCGATGCTCACATTTATTAAATGATTTGTATTCGTTGATAATTGGCTAACACCAGCCGATATAAGAAAGGCACCTCTTGGCAATATTGTCAACTACATTAAATCTGTAGGCTGGCTCACGAGCTAGGAGGTGCCGATCTATTTAGGAAGATGCAAAATGGGTTTAGTAAGGCCTAAGTGCCGTGGGTAAACCCACCCTCTACACGTTACAGATATAAATGTTAAACTTAACGAAACTGTTGCAATTGAAACATATGCTTCTATTACAAAGAATACAGTTGTTGAATGTGGTTTATTCATCTTTTAAGAAAAATGTTATCGTTTCTTAGGAACTTCACCGGATGGATTGGTAGATGATGCTAAAAATTTTTAAGTAAAGTGTTTTTACTCAGCTCGAGAATTTGCACTATTAAATGCACAAAAACATGTTAAATACTTTTGTTCTACTACTGCTGATGGAAAAAAATTGTTTCTTAGGAAAACCATAATTATTTTTACTAAGTAAATGTTTAGCAATGATTTATTTTTTGTAGGATCAATAAGAATTTTTAAAAGGTATATTTAATAAATTTATTTATAATAGAAATAGTTTCTTTTTTTTTTTAGTTAAAAAAAAATATGAAATACCTACTAAGGTAATATGGTTTTTGAGCCAATCAGATTTTTACGAATTTATATTTTTTAACAGAAAAAATGTCATTACTAAATACCTGTTGTTTTTATTTCAAAATCCGTTTTTTTACTTGCCAACCTTCTTAAATACGATCAAATTTTTACCAAAAACTAATCACCATGCAATTAACATGATACTGATATTTGGTAAACATCTGTTCAACTTTTTTAATTGATAAAACACATGCATCATTCAGAATGCACCTTTTATTAAATAATTCAAATATTCTGTAAAATGAATAGGTACGTTTGCATCGACCGAATTATTAATAGAAAAATATTTATTTAATCCAGCGAACTTAGTAATACAACTCGATCTGGCAACACGGTAGCGTTGGTGTACGCGGACATCCGAAATTTCTGTTTGAGTAGGAAATTTAATGCTCTCTGTGAGCAATTTTAGAAAGTACTAATTGAGATGGCAGCACCTCTCAGAGATGAGACTTTAAAAGAGGAAATTCAAAATAGTGTTATTGTTTAATTGAATTTTTCACTAAATTTATAAAAAACTTATTAATGTTTTGAGGTCAATGTCTTTAAATATAATTATTGAAGGTATATTCTTTTATATTACATTCATTTTTATAGTTTAAATCTAATTTTTGTTAATAAAATAAATATATTCTTCAATTACGTCATTTCTGCAAGTTCAAAAATTTTCAAAAAATTTATGTAAGTTTCTTAACCAAAACTAATTTATTTTATGAAATAATGATCTCTCTTGATAGTCTAGTTTCTTTGTTTTATACTTGTAAAAAAGTAAATTTTCCGATTTTTCTTGAGAACAAATGATACAAACCGGATCAAATTTTGGTAAAATAATACTTAAGGTTGTATATACATTCACACATTTTTTCAAAAATTTTGAACGTGTAGATACTTTTTCCGGGGGTCCATATAAACCTTAAGAGAATTTTTATGTGTAAATTTGTTTATTTGTTAATATGCTATAACTTGAAAACAAATGAAAATCGGATAAGAACATATGAGTTTTTTTACATTATTTTCACGTGTGTAATATACTCCTAGAGTTTGGTGCGCTCCTCCCGAATCACCCTGTATACTTAACTTTTTAAAACGCAATCCTCTGACTTTTTCTTGAGTACAAGGGGCATTTTTAATAATAAACACAAAAACTCAATGAGAAATAGTATATATAAAACAATAATTCACTCAAAAACAACACTAGACACAGATCAAAAACACGTAAAATATGGTATGCATAACGAGAACGCTCTATTTCCATGTAGCATCTAGTGAGTATTAGCGGAAGTTTTTTTTGTAGTTTGAAATCCAGTAGAGAGGTTAATAGTTTTCTATATTCATAAAATATGAACGTATTGCTTGTAGAGACTTATCGCGTTGGCGAAACGAAAAAAATGCGGGTCCATTTAAACCTTAAATTTAACATACATACACTTTTTTTTTACATATTGTTTTTTTTTTCAAGTATAAGTAACTTATGCACAACATATTTTGATGCTTTTTAATATAAATGTTCTAACTTATTTTTGTATTTTGTACATTTTCTTGTCACTCTGTAATTGGCATAAGCTGTTTGGGTGATGTAATTATAAATAAATAAATAAATAAATATACACATTTTTTCTCAACTACAGTTCATCAAATTTCTAGAGGTGTTCGACGCCCAGACAGAGAACGCGCTACGTGTGACTAAGATAGCTATTGTACAGTCTGCTAAACAAGTTATTTTAAATAGTTTTTAATATTTTTAGGTAATTAAATTTTAAAAGTGTGGAATAGTTTAGGTATTAAATTGGTCTGATTGGACTTTCTTAGAACGTTTTTAAAAGCAGCTAAAGATAGTATGTAGAATTGAAAATAATTATTATGCCATAAAAGGTGTTTTGGAATTCCTTCAACCTTTTGAAATTGAGTCAGAAAATATAAATTTTATAGGATAGCGGAAAATACCTATAATTTTTTTGTAGGCCTTTGTAAATCGTGGAAATAGTTTATATTTTATTTCTACCTTATTAAGGAAAATGGTACCTATTATTAATAACGGTTGTTTCTGAAACATTACTAAAATTTTCGAAATTTTGTTTTTCTACAAAATAATAAACTATACTATTTAGAAAAAAATTTATTTCTCTTATAATTTTATAAAAAATAACAGGGGAATATTTACATTTCTTGATCTATTAAACAAAACGATAAATTATCTCGACGAATGACACCATGTTCTAGTACGGAAGCTAGCTTTACATTTTTGTTGGTGGTTTCATGGGTTTCATATCAATTTTTTGTAATTGTAGTTTACACGTACATATACCTCTTAACACTTGTTTGCTTTATTAAAAAAGTGTGTTGTTGTGATTTACGTCGAAATAAGTCAAAAACAACTTGAAACCCCATATAAAATCAAAAAGGAGAAACGGATAAAAATTGAGCCTGTAAATGAACACAACTCAGAAACAAAAATAGCTATTTAATAATAAAAAAATAAAATTTGATTCTTGTGCAGCTTCATCTATATCATTAACTGTTTTTGGTTTTTTAATGGTTTTTCTTGGTGATGAAAATTCCGATATCTCACGGTTATCGATTCTTTTTTTCTCTCCAGAAATGCGGACGACAGTGTTTTTAGATACTCCTGTGGCTGCAGCAACACGATCATTTACATTTTTAAATGGTATTGAAGGTGAATTAAAGTTTCCTTCTCTTCTCATAAACTCTATAACGTTGGCTATTATTTCGCGAGATTGACTGTTAATCACGCGGCCTCTTAATTTGCTATTAAACACTCCATACTTAGGTTCTATTAAACTGTAATGAGCAAAAAACACAAACGAAAATAAAAGAAATGTTTTAGCGAAATTTACATCTGACATTTACGTCTGAATGAAATAGTGAAATACTTGATGCGCAGAGTGTACTTTCATTGCGTAAATCCGTCGGGATGCCTGTCAGTAGTGCTTTCTCTGTCTAGCCGTCGAAAGCCTCTAGAAATTTGATGAACTGTATATCATTTATTTCAAATCGTTTTAAAAGATGCATTTTTTTTTCTAGAGTTTAGAAACAACCAAGAGACAGCTTCGAGCAAATCTTACGGAAGAGATAGAAGCAGCTATAGATACCGAAATGGACATTTTAATCGAGCACTGGACAAGTTCAGAGTGTCAAGAGAATTTTTCGAAAATGAAGAAATAAGAAACCAGAATTTGCTAGTTGAATGTGTGGTACAAAGAATTTAAATGTAGCAATTATGTGAAAGAAATCGGAAAATTATTTCACATAGCTATTTCAAAACATATTTTTTATATTTTCATAAAACTAGTGATTAAGTGACTATAAATGTATATCCTTTTTTTTAGGATTTTATCTATCTTAGACAATTAATTAGTACTAAACTTCGATTTTTAATGTATCTGATTGAAATTTAAAAATTTCACTGACTGTTTAAGCACAGTAGTTAAATAAGGTCCCAAAGATTGGTGCAATTTATAATCGTAAAACAGTTGATTAATTTGTAAGGCAGGTGTTTAAAAATTAAACACTTAAAATCATCTTGCAGTGTGTCCTGAATTCATTTTTACATTTATCATAGATAAAAGACAATTAAATTTAAGCAATGGGGCACGCTCGCTAAACGTCAATAATTTTGTCCGGTATATTTGTAAAAATACAAATTTAATATTACACATTGACTGGAAAAGGATGTCGCTCACATTTGATGGAAAACTGGGTTTGAATTTACTTTAAAATTCTCGAATTCTTAAAAACAAGCAGTATTACATGCATTGGTGTGTTTATTAATGAATAATATATGGATTTGAACATTTCTAAAAAATTCGTTTTAAGACGATGATTATGTTTGGCGTTATTTCATTGTTACAAATGCACTGCATTGAAAATTCTACTCGAGAAAATTATTTATTAAAGTGCATGTAGCGTTTTTTTTTTTTTTGAAAACCTTAAAATACCAAAATTACAGGGTGTCAAAAATATGTTTTTTATGATTTTTTATTAATAACTTTTTCTAGTTTGCGATTAACTTTAAATTTTGTACACTTATTAGTAATATTGTCATAAATTGACATAAATCCCTTAATGCCAAAATGTCTTGGCAGCCCATGACCTTAAGAAAATGTTTTAAAACTTTTTTGCTTAACCCATTAGTGCCTAGATTATTTTTTTTTTCTCGTTTTTTTCGGTAATTTTAGTATTTTTTGTTTAAATTATGGTCAGATTTTAATAAAAAAAATTGAATTTTTATTTGTAGAATTGTAGACCCTTCAGGTTAAGGCACTAATGGGTTAATTTAGAAATCGACTAATTATTGATTATTTTACCCACCCCTAGTGTGAATATAACTGAATTTTGTTAAAATATCATCAGAAACACAATGGTGTGCATATTTCACGGGATACAACAAAATTTAATAGTTTTTATATAAAATATTAAATTTTTAACTATTTTTTTTGGACCCTCTGAAACACATTTCAAAATACTTTTTTGTACCTCAGGGACTAAAACATGCATTTTACTCCCTCATTTTAGAAACTGAAGTGCCACTTTTACTCCCTTGGAACTAAAATATTTCAGTCCCAAGGGATTAAAAAAATGTTAGTCTCGCAAATAGCAAGATCAATAAAAACCATAGCAAAGTACTTTATTCGGGAGGTAATATAACAAGACCTCATTTATAAGCAAATAAATTTATTATTTTTTTTCAAAAATAGTTTTATTTATTATTAGTATAATTTTTAAAAACAATTGATTTCTATAAAACGTCAAAATAATAAATTTTAATTTGACAATTATTAGTGTATAAAGTTCATTGCATAGCCTTTCAGTATAATATCATGTTTTCGGCATGTGATTACTACATGAAATTTGATGGCGACTCTACAAAATTTTGACAGTTGTCAGAATCGTATTCAGCCAAATAGGAAAAGGCTTTGAAATTAATAAGAATTGATATCAAAACATTACAAAATAAAACAATATGTATTTTTAATTAATATTTATTATCATAAATAATATAACATTAGTAAATAAATTCCTAAAATTAATTATTATGAGACAACAAGGATCACTTGCCGGATGAAACCTACAATAACAAATTAGATCTGTTTTAAAAATCACATAAATTTTATTCGATAAACTAATTACCTTGGAAATCATTGAAATTTAACAATACTGATGAAGTTAAACTTGTAGAACAACAGCCATTTTTGAATAGAATAGAATTGAATTTATTCGTCAATAAAGTATTTTTACATTTTTACAATGTTTTAAAAAAAAACTTATCAGACTAGTCAGCTCATACACAGTACGTCCATAGAAAAAACAAAAACACCATTCACACTGTCCAATTCATAGAAGTTTAAAATTCCAGAGCTGAGATAATAGATACAATACAATAAACGTTTATTATGCGGAGTTGTCTTCCCACAATTCCCAATTTAATTCCTTATCCGATTCGTTTAAATCAATGATTACAGGAGAGATATTACTTGCATCAATGATTTTTGCAGTCTCCCAATATTCATCAATAATTTTTGTTGTATGGTCTACATACCTCTTCTATTTTTCTGGTGTAATCTACAATTACATAACAATTATAAACCATAACATAAGAAAAAACTTTGCTTTAAACCTGTTGAAGATATTTGTATCTGCAGTATTACGTTCTGCCGGTTATTTTTGCATCGTAATACCTTTTATACTCGGACCAAACAAGTTCAATTGGGTTGAACTGGCAATGATATGGAGGTAGTCTCAACACACGATGGCCATGCAAAAGAGCTAATCTATCCAATCTGTTAAATATGCATTTTATCTTATTAAATTATATCACATCATAACATACCTGTATACTTTATCTGGTACATGTTTCTTGGCAATTTCTAACAATTCGAACTTCATACTAGGCATTGGAAACTGTATATTCCTTTCTTTTAACCAATTAATCAGAGAAACTTTGTTCCAACTTGCATTTGGTATTCTTTCGAGCAACGTTGAATGGTACGACGCATTGTCCATTATTATTAATGACGGTTCTTCTAAGCTTGGTAGAAGCTGATATTCAAACCATCTTTCAAAATTATCAGCATTCATTGAATCATGATACTCGCCAGATTTACTACCACTTTTAAATATCAAGCTACAGTCATTAATAAACCCATTTTCAGAACCTGCATGAAGAACAATGTATCGTACACCTTCACCACTCTTCTTTCTGACTGCCTTATATGTACCATCATACCAGCTTTTGCGAAATCCTCTTTTGCTGAATATCCAAGTTTCATCAAGATATACAGGCTTGAGACGATGAGAATCACTTTAATTTTTTTTTAAATCTCGTAAAAAACATAATCTTTTGCATGTAACATGTGACTGTTCTATGAGATATTTTCTGTTAGAAATGTTACAGCTTATCCACTTGAATTTTAATTCTTTTAAAGCCCTACTGAGTGAAGAAACTGATGTATTTATCCCATATATATCTTCTAATTTTTTTCTTCAACGTATAAAGAGTCACATGCTCACCTACAATAAGAAAAAATGTTACAAAAAAAAATTATTAAAACTAACCCTAGAAAATAAACTCATAATGAATCAGTAAACAAATTTGTGTGTGAAATGGAAACATAATAACATTGATGAAGATATTTGGAACCTTATACAATCTAACTTGTATTTAGTAAATATCAACCTTGACTAAACATTCTGTATATACAAGTCCTTATACCATGTTCATATTTCTCCCAAATATTGGGACCACGGCTGACGCTGACAGAATCGGACATTTTAGCTGAGTATTCGCGATCTGCTTGAATACTTTCATTTACCAATCGTCCTACAGTCGATAGCGATATTCCTAAGGCGGCCGAAACTTGCTAAAATTAATTGATCATCAATGAATTTTTACTAAATTTTAAGATTTGAAACTTACTTCATGTACAGCTTTTACAGGCAAGGCTTTTTTTTTTCTAATTGGAAATAAGCAAGCAGTTTTAATACAAACGCTTGCTCTTTTTCGCTATACCTCGGCATATTTATAATTCTCAAAAATGTAATTAACCACAATAATTACAAATGGAACTAATGGAAGTACTGGTCTGATAAAAACTGTCAGACGTACACTTTGACGTTTATCAAAAATAGCTAAAGAGCCTGTTCAAGATTTCAATTTGACTATGAGGCCATGACGTATAGCAAACGGCAGCCAATGAAATGCCTGTATTGTGTTAATTGTAGTTATTTAATATCTCTCATGATTTTGTTGCGTCACGAAAATTTATAGCGGACGTACCGTTTTTTGCATTTCTTTCAACTTAATGCGATAAAGCGAGATAGATGCCATATGACGTGCATCTGAAAGGCTATGAAATTAACTATACCTAGTTGATGTACGTATAATGCCTGCCTTGTAAGCAGAGGATCCAGGTTCAAACCCCGACAAGTTAGTTTTTCAATTTATCCATTTTTTTTTTCAATAATTTTTCATAATCATGAAATAATATTGAGTGTTTCTTTTCACATAATTATCGTGTAAATTTCTAAGTTTTAGTCCCTGTGGTACAAAAAATAGCGTATATACCAAGGGACCAAAGTAAACTTTAGTTTCTTGGTACATAATATACTATTTTTAGCTAGAAACGCTTTCTTATCTTAAAACTTCCAAACGTGCCTGTCCTCCAATTTCTATCTTCATTTTGATATTTATTATCGTTGAAGATAACACAGGCCTGCGTTTAAATACTCTGTAAAATGTGAATTGAACTTTTCAACTGAAATTGGGTATTTCAGTGACGCCGATTTCAAATCTGCTTTTAGTTTCTTCTATCACGTAATAAAATACTATAAGAATGCAAAAAGTAAAAATATATTTATAGATAGGTACTTAGGATAAAAAAGAAAATAAACCAAGAAAACAAACAATAAAACCGGGGAACTAGTTAAAAAATAACATACGTTAATGCTTTGTTTTCTTGAAAAATCTTTCTTTCCGGAAAAGCTTCTTTTTGGTATTTTTCGTGCATATTCTGCGGTAGGACGGTCCCTTTTAAGCATCCAACAGTAGTCTGTCATCATTTTGATATCCCATTTTTGTCTAGAGCTTTGACAAATTATTTCATCAGCCCCAATTTTATATGTAGAGGGAGTAATAAAATTGTCTCGGGATCAACTAGGCTTTACCGAATTACGTTTTTGGAGCTATGCGTTAAATTTTTTCTTGGTGGTCCATTTTTTTTGGTCCAGTGGTCATCTCTTGCTCTACTGTCCCACTCACATAGGAAACATGGGTATTTCTTATATCCGGAGTGTTGACCTAAAAGCAACCCTAAAATTTTAAGGTCACCATATAGAATCCAGTTATATTGTCTGTAGTTTATTCTTAAAAGCAGTACCTCAAGACTTTCGTAATTTTCTTTTAGATGCATATAAATTGTCATTATGAAGTAGAACAGCTTTAAGACTTCTCTTTGAAGATCTATAAAAAGTCTCCACTCGGCAGGATTGTATTCAGGAGCATCTAGGTGAATAACAAAGTCAGATACTTTTTGACAATATACAAGTGAACCAGCTGCGGCAAAGTAATTGGCAAATTCAGCCTCATGAATTCTATACCAATAAAATGTAGTACCTGGAGCAAGTAATTTTTTTTCTTTAAGCCTTGATCCTAAATCCCTAAGTCATTCAGTTGTACTTGAGAAAATAGCTGCGGTTCACGGGTTCCTGAGGTAGATGGCTCAAAAATGTCAATTTCTGAATCTGTTGAAGATTCTGATTCGATAGACTGTAATACTTTATGTGGAACAGGTACAGGTATGTGGGCGTCATGTGGAACTGGTCTTATTGCAGACGAAAGATTAGGATAGTTAATACACTTTAGAGATTTTGTGTTATGACCTTTAATATCACAAAGACAAAAATGTGATTTTTAGGTTCTCTCAGACCATTGGTATTCCAAACTGTAAGGCTTTTCTTGTTCCTTTAAATATGTGCCTCAAGGCTTCTTCGCAAATCTTGCAGATAACATGTGGCGCCCAAGGTTTATCTTGATCTTCAAGTCTGACTTTAAAATATGCATTTTTGACGAAATCAGTAATGTTTCTTTTAATCTTCTTCACTATAAAGTGTCCACAAATATAACAAAAGTCATCAGGTCTATTTTTACAACACCTACTAGACATTTTTGTAATAGAAAGTGCACAACGAAACACCGATAGAATTCGATAGACAACGCTTGTCTCAATACCACGGGGATACTAAATATATCGCCCTCTTTCCTGAAGTAAGTACCGGTAAATCCCCCTACAAATGCGCAAATTAAAACGAGGTTTTAACGCTTCTCAACGTTTTGAACAAAAATAAGGAATTCAAATTTGTTTGTGATGTTCAGGGATAATACCCTTGATACTAGTTTACAAAAAAAGTTTATGTGATAGAATAAAAAGAGAGTTATTTTAGCTATATAGAAGTTGTAAATAGGTAAAAAAAAACAATCACAAAATTTTCGCGGGCCTGTGTTAATTTACTTCATATTTTTTCTAATAATTTGAAATGCATAAAATAAGAAAATGTTTATGGCTGAGATTGGACAACAAATTTTAAGGCTTTTAATATTATAAAAGTCATGGAAATGACAACTATTATGTTTGATAAGTGACATTTCTTTAATAAAATTATTAAAGTGC